GGCATGAAGTGCTGACATATTTTGGTGACGGTCAGCAGTTTTCTAACTTGTGCCTCAGAATTATTGGGAAATGAAAACGCATTTCTATCTAGCTTCCCAGGAATATTTCTACCCAAAATAGAAAAGGAAAAAAAAAAATACAGAGAAGAAGCGCCTTTCAACCTACCACCAAGTGGTACTCTGTTTAACACAAACACCAGCCATTCATGAACGGTAACTGCATTTGGAACAATCAGCTTCTTAGTCAACATGACATGAGGTCACTGTTACTCCATCCGCAAGTTTTAATTATTAACACTCCTGTCTGAGTGGATAAGGGGCAGCAGCAGGAAACCCTGAGGGGGTTAGCAGTCTTACAGTTGTTACTCATGACAGTGGATCATCTATAGTCTTGTAAACACAACTTTTGCTTTTTTTCCTAAGTGGCACCACAGAATCCATCATTAAGCTATTGCATCCTTGGGAAAATATGGAAGCACATGACCTGATAGAGTCAGGGTGAGAATGACCTTGGAGTTGGCCAAGACCATTCATGCTCTGCCCTCAAGAAGGAAAACTGCTGAGAGGGTCTGTATCCTGACTAAGCATAGGGTAGGAACGCATACTCCGGCATCCCATTTGCTTTGCTCTGATGTGATGCCCTAAACGGTCAACCCACCAAAATCTGACCCTCGGCCCCATTTCACTGGCTCCCCTCTTCCATTTGGCTCTGTAACCCAACCCCATCCCTGTACACTGAGAAGTTCAGCGGATCTAGCAGGGGCTTCCAGAAAACCAATTCCTGTCCTGGGGGGTCAGTTCCCCAAGCTGTGCTGGATCATCACATGACCTTCCAGAAGCCCAGGTGCATTTTCTGCTGGATGATCAAGCAATATCACAGCTCACAGCGGCCCCACCTTTGGTCCAGGAGGCTCCTGCAAACAGAGGAGCTCCATGAAACAGCCAGCCAGTGGTCACTGGCTTCCGGACTGGCATTTGTCTCTGAAATGGTAGAATTAGAACGTGTAGTGCTGTGAACCATTAGAAGCATGACACACAAAAGAAAGAAGTAGTTTTGACAGTTGCTATGGTGATGATAACAATGCCTTTACTTACTGTTTGTGACGAAGACCCTGCACTTTTCTCCCTAAGGCCCCTAGAAGTGGTCCTGAGCCCCGGGCTGGCTCTGAGCACACCCGAGGCAGGCGGACTCATGCAGGGATGCTTCGTGGGCCAGAGCCGCGGAGCAGGGAAGAAATGGCCCACAGAAGGGTCAGCCTGCCCAGAGCCCAGCCTGCTCAGTGCAGATGTGGCCGTGTGACGACAGACCTGGTCTGTGTTCCTTGCATGAGTCAAGGCTGGGCTTCCTGGCCTCACATACATCTCATTTCTAGCAAACCTCCAGGCCTCTGCCCATCCTGGAGACACACACAGGAGATACCCACTGAAGAGCATTTTTTTCTCCCCTTAGTGGCTCTGCATGGCGCTGTGATACTGAGCTGGGCATCCCGTTAGAGTAGTTCATGCCACGTTGACTAAATCACACAAGCGTTTCTTCTTTCAGCAGCACCACCTGCCAACACACGTTCAGTGGTAGCTCAGCCCTCAGATTAGGGGCTGCTTCCATAAAGGCACCTGCTAAATGCAGTTACACAGCAATACAGACTTCAGTGTTACGTTAGACTGTGGTGCGGTGTGTTAGCCTAGTGCGGTCAGAGTTGTCTGGTGTTACAACCGAGTCCTCCCTCCCTAGGTCGGCGAGGGCTTGCCTCTCACCAGCCCTGGCCTGGGTACTTGAGCTAATTCCCACGTTGCCCTGGCCTCGTCTCCTCATCCTGGACACCCATCCCACATGGCTCCAATCCCAAAACACGAGGGGCAGCCGCCACCGTGTCCCCCGTGCCCCTCCACCCCACCCCGTTAGGACTTGGCCCTCTCGCAGTGTGGAAGCCCCCAGGTGTCCACCTGCCAGGCTGGAGCTGTTGCCATGCAGAAATGCCACAGCCTCCCCGCCTGCCTCAGACCCAGCAAACCTCAGCAACCTCTTGGTGTGTGGGTGCCCCACCCGCCCCCAGCCCCCCACATGCTCCGAGGAGGTTCTGGCTGGGGGTCGGGGACAGGGAGGGGCCGGAGGGCCGGTGCACTTGGTGATGAGCTGAACGGGGTTACACGTTCCTTTTCCGGCCCCTACGGTTTCTGTGTTGCATATTTGTGTTTGAAGCATATTAAAATGACCTTGAGGGATCTTCTGTGATATGCACTTGATGTGACTGTTGGCCTGGCCCTCTCAGGCTTCAGATCAGGCGGGGATCCAAGGCAGGGAGGCCAGAAAGGTATCCTGCAGGCTGGGTTCCTTTTGTGTGCGTGGTGGAGTCAGCTGATCAACACGTGGTCTCAAGACCCATCCCCCCAACCAACTCTCCCCCCACCCCTCCCCCCAACTCAGCAGGACCGAGGTCCCTGCACCCATCTTTCCAGCGTGGGACCTTCAGCAGCCCCGTCCAGACTTTGGGGGCTCAATGCCCC